AAAGTAACCTGTTGTCAGTCATCTGGCTTGCTCCCTTCTGAGGTTACAACCCTACAACAAAAGCAATTCAAAAACAGACCACTCATAAACTCACAGTCAACAAAAATAGTTCTTTCTTCTATTGCTGGAAGAGCTGCAGCAGTTTCAGTCTCCCGATGAGCTACACCACTGCAGCACTTCTCTGGGCTTGAGTTAGTGGGGCACCACTTTAACTTAGTAAGATATTCTTTCTGTAGGCTTAGTAAAATACAGAAGGTACTTCACCTTTTTATTGAGAGGGAGGGCAGGAGAGGCAATAGTACACATGCTACTTTTTGCAAACTACCCTCAGTTTGCAGTATCCCAATGCTCTGTATGAAAGCCTAAAACCACAAAGAAAATGACTATATCTTTAAATATTAGCAATGCAATTTCCTTTCTTCTATTCTTGTGAATTCCAACTGCTTTCCTGATGTTTACACTTACCAAGTAGACAACCCAGTGATTACTTTCTGTGATCAAACCTGGCAGCTGTGAACTCAAAAGGGCAGGCTGGAATGAAAGCAACACAGAAAAGCTGGAGAAAAGAACAGTGTGGCTTCACGTGGTGATGGAGCTTCGTTTCCTAACTCCTCTGAAATTCTGCTCTTTCACATACCCTGCAAGCAAGAGGAAAAAAACAATCAGTGAAAGTGTTGAGTTTGTAGGAGACAGGAGCCCCACTTGAAGAGCCATGAGACGTTGGCTGGTGTTCAAGGGTATGCTGGTAACTCATAAACTGAGGAGCCTCCAAGTAAACACTCAGTGTGTCAGTAAAAGGCTTGGTGGAGGGCAGAGAAATGTGCTGCTCCTTAAGGCGTGGTGCCCCCATGAACGGATGCACACGGTGTCCATCTCTGCTCTGCATTTAACGCAGGGCCCATGTCCCAGCCCACGTCCCAGCCACGGATCGCGTCCCGACCCATGCCTCGAAGGACCACATCGCAGTGCTCGCCCTATACGCGGGGACCAGCTGCTGAGCCCAGATCCCCCAGCGGGGGCAAGGGGCTGCTCAGAAGGGCTGCCCTTTATGCTCTCACCCCCTCGGGCCCCTCCTGCGAGGGTAGGGGGCGCCGAGCTCGAAGCTCGCTCGATGAGGGCCGGGGGTCGCCGGTCCGGTCCGGTCCGGTGCAGCGGAGAGGCAGCGTGAAGGGCCGTCCGCACACCCCGGGAGCTCCCCGACAGCCCGAGCGGCCGCAAACAGGCTTAAGGCCGAGGCGATTTGCGCGTAATCCCCGGCACGGCCCGGGGAAAGGGGCGCGGTGCCGGGTAGGGAGGGGTGGAGGGGGGGGGCAGCTCGGTTAGACCCCCGGGAGCCGGGGGAGGGAGCGGAGCCGGGCGGGGAGGGAGGAGGGGACCCGGAGGGGGCCGGGGGGAGAAAAGGGAGGAGCGGCAGGGGGTGGAGGGAAGGAAGAGCGGCGTGGGGAAGCGCTACGCGCCCGAGCGGCGGAGGGAGGGAGGGAGAGAAGGAGGCGGCGGTGGAACGCGCTCGGCTCCGCGGGCCGAAGGTCGGGCGATGGAGGAGCACGGGGAGCCGTCTTACAGCGGCCGCAGCCCCGCCTGGGAGGAGCTGGTAGGTACATGCGTGCCTCGCCGCGCGGGCATTTCCTCCTTTCCTTCCTGCTCCCTGCTGTGCGGTTCGGGCTGTCATCCCCGGGGCCGGAGTTGGGCGTCCCGACCTGAGCGGTACCCGGTGCCCCGCCGCCAACTTTGCCGGGAGGAGCGGAACGGGATGGGGATACGGAAAGCCGCCGTAGCGTCCGGAGAACCAGAGAGATACTCTTTCAGGGAGATAGACTCTTCCTATTGTTATTTGTTCTTATTTAATTTCCGCAGCCGGGCTGGGAATCGCCTCCAGCTCTCCCTACGGCGGAGCCGAGCCGGGGTTGGGGTGCCCGCAGGGAGCGGGGGGCACGGGTGCCTCCAGAGGGGGTTCCCCGAGAAGGCTGCCGCTTCGGTATGCTGAAGCCGCTCGGAGACCCTCCTCCCAGCGAAGGAAATCGTGTCACCGGCATCCTCCGCCGGCGATAACATCAGATTTCCCCTGTCGGCGTCCCGCCGTTGGGCTTTTCTCCATTGTGCAAACACACGCACACGCACGGCGGACGGGGAGGGCTATTAATAGCCCCTGGGTCGCCGCTCTTGAGGTCTCGGGCTGCCCGAGAGGTCAGGGCTGGGTTGTCCCTGGCCGTGAACTCTGTGGGGCGATGGAAGCATGCACCCGTAACACGGCCACGCTTCTTTTCAGGTGGCTGTGCTTTTTTTTTTTTCTTTTCTTTTTTTTTTTTTTTTGACAGCCTGCACGGGTCCAGCCCCTGGTTCTATTTCTAAAGGCACTTTATAACAGCGCAGTGGGAGAACCACACTTCGCCTGTCCCAGTCTGCACACTCCCAGGAGATACCTCCTGTGACCCACTGCCACCCTACCGGGATTTGCAACCCTGTGCCTTCGCAAATACATTTTGACTGGCCTCGTTTCCTAGTGAAGTTGAACAACCCCTTTTGCTGCCCTCTGCGGTCCTCAGCTGCTGAAGCTGCGGCCGGAGATGCAGCTGTGATAGGGAGCGCAGCTGGATGCGATACGTTCCAGCAACATGGAGCTGACATCCACAAGCAGCGCGCAAAGGCAGATCCTAGATTTTGCCTGGAGAGATGAAAATGCTGTGGGAGGAAAACAGCGAATCCCGTTCCCCTGAACGTGTTGTCCTACTGAACAGTGACATTTACATTGGCTGCCGAACTCAGCCGAAAGTCAGGAGGCAGACAGATAGCAGCCCCTCCGTATGGCTGGAGCAGCCCAGCCTGCTCCCTTCTGGGTGCAGATAAACACAGACAGAGCACTTCCTTTCTTTCCCCCCCCCCCCTCAGTCTCCCCCTCCCCCGATAAAGGAGAGGATTTGGGTCATGTTTATCGTTCCGTGTCTGCATTTGTTCAGGGTACACACATGAATGCAGTTTTAAGGTTAACCACTGCATTCGTTTCCTTTTACAAGCCTCCAATTTCAGTCCAAGCACTCAGTCCTCTACCTGGTAACCTGCTGGTAAAACACAGCATCTTTGAGGCAAAACTGCATCGTTTTTCTTCATATAAGTCATATCAATCACCTTCTTCGATGCAGGCTTTGTCTTGAAATAAGGACGAAGGGAGATTTAGGTGAGGAACTGCATGGGGTAGGAAAAATGTGCCCAGAACTCTCCTTCTTTCTCTTAACATAGAAAAGGAGCAACAGGGTGAGAGAAACCATTGCAGGTTTGGAATTTGTGCACAGTGATTACCTCTGCGAGTTGTCAGGTGTTGGTTAGGAGTGCTGTTCCTATGGCTGTTCTGGGGAGCAACTGGCTGACATCACATGGAGCCACAGCTTCTCCTTGAAAATGTCAGGTTTGAGCTCGTCCATGTGAAATTTAGGATATCTGTAAAATCCTGACCTTAATTCCCAGCTCACTGTTGAATGGAGAACATCTTCCCACTTCTGTAAGAGCCAAAAAGAAGTAACAGATAGCATCAGGCTCATCCTCTGCTCTTCAAAGGGACATTCAGGGGCACTGCACTCCAGACCCACGCAATCTAGGCTACGAAGTCCTATACCCTGCTTCCACATCTCATAACGGACCCCAGCCTTAGCTTCACCTTTTGAGGTGGAGGAAAAAAACTTCTTATCCTCCAGCTTACAGATGCCAAAGTGACCTAGAGAAAAAGAGGTAAATACGCCTATTATGGTGGGAATCAATATTAGAACTGGAAGCATTTCTGTTCCTGGAATCAAATGATGCGTTAATCTGCATTATAAGCCATAATCTGCAGAGCAGCTGGAGTGTGTATTTGGGTTTTTGGTACATCGCATATGCTTTTTAGTGATGTGTATTCTGTTATCAGCACTGAAGCTGTTTGGTGGAAAGATTCTTACAGTGCACATATTTACCCGGCACTTTGGAATTCTTTGAATATAAAGGGCAGATCATCAGCTGATATCAATTGCCATGACACAAATGATGTCAGTGGGGCTGTTTCGTGTCAGTTGAGAATCTCTCTTTCAGTGCCAACCTTTCTTTGCTCTTTTCACCAGTTTCCTTTAGTAAAGAAATGTAAGGGAATTATTGAGAAGTGAGAAATTGAGCATGTGAAAGACAGAATTCACACGCATATCACATGTGCTCTTCAGGAGCCTGACTGGAGGATTAGTTTGGAGGATTTCAGTGGTGCCACTCGTACCACAGCATCCATACCTGTGTTCCCCAAGATGCAATCTGCTATATGGTGCTTCTCATATTGAGTCTGGCTTCAGCCACTTGGATGTAGTGATAGAGTCAGCTGGCAGTCCTCATCCAAGGAAAGTCCCAGGGACACCTCAGGCAGCATTATCTGGGTAAAGACCAGAGCTGGATCATAAGCATGTATTAACTCCTTTGAAAAACAGAACAAGTGGGAGCACGGAGAGCTTTAAAACTTTCCTTATGCATGGAAAATATGTATAAGAACTTCATACATGAATGCAAATGAATAAGTCTGTTATACTTTATACAGCATAGCGTTTGGCTGGTGTTAACACCAAACTCGCTTGGTTTTCTCTGTTTTGAGGAACACTGGAAACTTGAGTTGGTGGATTTTAGCACCTAGGATTTTACAAATGCGTACTTTGTAGATCCCGTATTCACCTCAGACTGTGCTTGTGGGGCATTTATGTTATTTGCTGAGTTCGGTTGCTCCCACTGAACTCTCCACCTTAAGTGGGAAAACATTTCCAGTGCTTCAGTTCTGAAGTTCATTGAGACAAAGTGGAAGAGACTCGAGTTGAAGTGACAGGCACCTGGTGTCCTCTCCCTTGTCACTGGAACTAGATGGCCTTTAAGGTCCCTTCTAACCTAAGCCATTCCATGATTCAGTGTTTTTTTGGGTTTGGGCAGCCAGTGAAGAGGAGGATGGCAATGGGGACGTCCATGTGGGGATGGATGACACCCTTTGCATGATGCACTGTGCAGGAGCTAGGGCTCATAGTTAAGCTCTGAATGTGAACAGAAGGTGGGGAGCCATATTTATTGCCCATTTGCGTTCCCCATTTCACCTACAGACACTTCACTTAACAGCTTTTATGCATTTGAAATGAAGTGTAGTGAAAGAAACCTGAGCTGTCTATGCAGATACCTAAGGAGATCTGCAGCAGACAAGTTACATTTTATGCTTTAGTAAAAAAAAAATCTCCCAACATGCAAACCTCAGGTCACCAATTGAGCCAACTTTGTGACCTCCCTAAATTTAAAGGCTTTCATCCTGAATTGTGGATAATGTTTCTCCTTTTCACCTTAATTCTGGAAGGTGGGTGAAATGCCTGCTTGTAAACAATTTTGCACTCAGCTCTGCACAGGATCCTGGTCATGTGGTGGAGACACAGCTGTCACATGTACCGATATTTTGAATGCTTTTTTAGCATGGGAACAAATTTAACAGTAATAGTGTTGTTCATCTAAGCGCTGCTTAATTCAGTTGAATTAAATGGAGTCAGTGAGTGTTGTATTCTGTTAGCACCCAGTGTTCCTCAAATCGCAGCCCCAGCCCTATGCAAACTGCATTAGCATTAATTAGCACACTGTCTTGTCACCTAGATGCAGTGTTCAGTTGTTGTTTACCTTCAGAAGGCTCTGCTAGCTGCAGTGAGTGAGCTGTGTTCTGGGGTAATTTGCTGTTCTGGAGGTGCTGGGGGAGGAGGAAGAGGAAGGAAGGCAGCTGGGGTGACTAAGTGTAAGCTTCTCTCTTGGCCTTTCTTCTTATCTGTGTCCTAAGAGAATTTAGTGCACACTTGCTCTTGCCCTAGTTTTATCTTACATTTTTGAGAAAGAACTCCTTCAGGAGAAGAATGAGACGAGTGAGGAAAAGGAGCTATGCAAGAACTGTATCTAGTTTCAGATGTGGTATTGGTGGTAGGACTTAGGCCCAGTTATTACTGTACTAAGAAACACAGGTACTCACAATTCCTTTAAAACGTACCCTCAAAGAAGTGATCCTAACATAGAGAAGGGCAGTAGAACCTCATGGAAGCGCCGGATTTGGTGACACCTACGTGGGATACAACACTTGTGTGGCTTCACGCTTCTTTCATTCCACCTACTACAAATGAAAGTCCCATTGAAGGAAATGGGATATTCCAATGTACGAAACCCAGCTCACGGCACGGTGTTCGCAGCATAGGATGGGCTCTGTGTTACGGTTTCGCTTTTGTTTCTCATTTGTTGCTCTGTATTTCGGTACTGCGGCACTCATATTAGCTCATTGAGAGATAGAAGTTCCCTTTTGAGAAATATAAATAGAATTGCGGGAACAGAGAAGCCGCAAGTATTGGTCGCTTTCTTTAATCCACTCCGTGCAGTTGGGAGCCGTGTGTTTTATTTGGTATTGCTGAGACTGAAAGCTTATTTGGAACACTGACTACACGCAAAGCCACAGTCATTTCTGAGCCCCACAATTCAGAACATGTGCTGACATTTCGAGATCCTGGGAGCTGCCAGATCTGCGACGAGAAGGGAAAAGCGACCCTTTTTCTCCCCCGCTCCAGAGGACCGCTCTTAAGCGAAGACAAGAACTTCGAGCAAAGCAATACAAAAACTAAACGGATGTGGGAGAACAACCACGTCCCGTTTCGAGTCGACGCATCCCGTTAGGCACGCCGCCTTCTTGCTTTTCGATGCCGGACGCGCGGAGCACAGCCGCACAGCTCCCCGCTGCAGCCGCACAGGTGCCCCATCCCCGTGCCAGGCCGCTGGGCTGAGCCCCCCGCACGGTGCCCACGCGTGGCTGCGGGCTGGGACCCGCTCCGCTCCGCGTCCCCGGGGGCGCCGCCCGCTCTGCCCCTCAGCTCTCGCCGCCCGCCCGCTGCGTCCTTAGCCGCGCTCGGCGCTCCCCGCTGCGATGAGGGCTCGGGGGCCGGACCTGCCCGCCACGGCCCGTTCCGAGCCGGGAACGGCTGCCGGCGGGCCGGGCCGTCGGAGGGGGCGGCGGAAGATGGCCGCCGAGCGGTCGGCCCCACCAGCGCCCGGCTCTTCCTCGGCTCCGTCCCTCCCCCCCGCGCCGCCCCTTTCCCCACCCTCCCGCGGCCGCCTCCTCCCTCCTCCCCGGGGAGGGGAGCGGCAGCGGCTGCCCGGGCTGAGCCGGGCTCGTGTGCTCTCTCTCGGCAGGAGTCCGGGAAGATGGCCGGGGCCGAGGCGGGGATGAGCGGCGCCGGGATCCAGCAGCAGCCCCAGCAGCAGCCCCAGCACCCGGCGGCGGCGGCGGCGGACGAGTCGTCGGACAGCGAAGGGGAGCACGAGGGCCCCCAGAAACTCATCCGGAAAGTGTCCACCTCGGGCCAGATCCGCAGCAAGGTAAGGGGCGAGGGGACGGGAGCCCGCCGCCTTCGCCCCGGCACCCGACGGCGCGGCCCGCGGCCGCATCCCGCTGCCCCCCGGCTGAGGGGAGGCAGCCGTGCCTCTTCCTTCCTCCCGTCCCCTCCTCCCGGCCAGCTGCTGCGTCCACATCTGTCCCCGCTGGCAGGAAGCCCCCCGGGGCGGCGGGGCCGGAGGGGAAGCCGCCTGCCCGTAGCCGGCGGCCGCCCTGCCCTGCCCTGCCCGCGTCCTGGGTGTGGGGGAAGCAGCCTCCCTCTGCTCCTCTTCCTCAGCCGCATCCCTCCCGGCCCCGCTCGCTTCTCCTGCCCCGGCCCCGAGGAGCCCCGCCGGTGGCTGCGGGTCATTAAAGCGGCTGTCAAAGTTTCGGGGCAGCGCGTTTTTTTCGGCCGGCTCGGGCTGCGAAGTCGCCCCGGTGGGATTGCTGGCTTAACTTGGTGATGGATGGTGCGTTTGCATCGCGGTTTGTCCTGTAAAATTAACTTCGGCGAGCACGTGTTTAAGGTTGCTTTTCTACCGAGACGTAAGCCAAGCAGAAGGATCGTGTAATCTCTTGCAAAACACGGTCCAAGTTCCATGGATGCACAAAGCCCGGCTGAGGTCATCCTCAGGCACATGGCACGTAGGGCTTGGGTTCTGCACCACGGCTCGTGTGTTTCTCCCTTTGCCCAGCCAAGTTAGTGAGGATCTGCTCTTGTGTTTGTGTGGGTTTGTGCTCTTCATCCCTTCAGCTCCACACACTACAGCCAAAGTGCCTCTCAGCAAGAAGCGGTCGTTGCTTAGTGTTGGCATTATCCCTCTTACGTGTAAGGTGTTAAGCCATTTTTTTCCAAAAACCTTCTTGGTGTCATTGCCTTTTGTTGCTAAATGTAACTTTGCACTTGTGATTTATGTTACCTGCTAGAATAACCCTTCAGCCAGGCCTAACTGTTGTTAGGCTGCGCTGTAAGTCGCGTACAAACTTCCAGCTTTAACAGGTTCTTCTGTGGTGATCTTCAAAAAGGCAGAACGGGTGCTGTGTCATCTCTGCTGGTGCTGGGTGTGTGCAAGGCTTTGCTGTCCTTAGCGGCTGATGCTCGCGTGAAGAAAATGTGGGGATTCTGTTCTCTTGGAACAGTTCTGTGGGCATGGGATCTTGATGCATTGTGGATTGGTGGGATACTGAGGGCTGCAAATGAATGGCAAAATGGTCTTCTTTTAAGGGAACTCTGAAAGTGATGCTTTCGTTTATCTTAGTTTGCATCCCAGTTGTATTTCTGTGAATTGGGTTTATATGGGAAATGCTTACTACAAGAGGGAATGGTTTTACAGGGAGGTTTAGGTTAGATATTAGGAGGAAGTTTTTGACACAGAGGGTGGTGACACACTGGAACAGGTTGCCCAAGGAGGTTGTGGATGCCCCATCCCTGGAGGCATTCAAGGCCAGGCTGGATGTGGCTCTGGGCAGCCTGGTCTGGTGGTTGGCGACCCTGCACATAGCAGGGGGTTGAAACTACATGATCATTGTGGTCCTTTTCCACCCAGGCCATTCTATGATTCTACAATAAAACTCTGCTTTACTTGCTACAATTTACAGTAACATGCAGCTGAGAATATAAATAACTTTCCGTTTAATTAAAAGTGATATATCTGTGTTAAAGATGAGACCTGTGTTCAATAATTCAGATGCACTTTATTTTATAACTCAGGATGCATTATTTAAAAGTAGCTGTATTTAGACTGACAACTCCCATTTAGTTTGAGGGTGTTGCATGTTTGCTGTTGTAGTAGTTGGTGATCAGTGGTTACACGAAACCACAAGAGCAAGGAACGTCAGGGAGCTGCTCTTTCACCCAGCCAGTCCCTTTCATTCAAATTAGATTTGTTAAGCTTCACTTACTCCGTGAATGTGTTTGTAAGCTAAGGTTTTAATTAAGTGGATGGGGTTTGTCTTACAGCTAAGAATAGACTTTTGAAAGAACCCGAAACATGTACGTTACATTTATCATTGATGTTCATGGGCCATTTAACACTGTGCTGTTTTTCTCTGGAGGTTGCTTATATACTTAACTCGAGACATTTCAGCAGCGTGGTGTTGATGCCTTAGCATGCAGCTGCACCCAAAAGTCTCTGCTGGCAATTGTTTTTATTTTACTTAAGGAAGATGTTATTTTTAGATGTTTTGGTACAGTTGATCATTTGTGAAAGCTCCCATATGGCGATTCTTTGCAGACAGAACCCTTCAGTGGTGGATTTTTCTAGCGTCTATATTGTAAGATTTAGCAAACATACGTATAATAGCAAAACCTTTTCCATAGCATAAACATAGTTTTGCTGATTTCGAACACCTGTAGCGCTCAGAGTGTGTTTTTAAGCCTTGTCCTCTTCCTCCTGTGTATAAACAATTGACCGCGGGTGAAAATCAGAATGGGAAAGTGAAAGGAAAGAATACTGTACTGGAAGATGTAATTGCACTGAAGTTCGTTGCTTCTTTATGATATGCTGGTCACATGCTCACTGCTCTGCTTAGAAATCTGTAGTCCAGTTTTGCTTACTCACATTGAGTAGTAACTTCCTCTGTGAATGGCTTGACTGAGTTCAGTGGAACTGCTTTTACAGCACTTTGATACTTGAAGTGGATGGGTGGTAGGGCTGAACATCTCCGTAACTTTTATTCTTGATCTACTTGTAAATTACACATACTTATTTCTCATGTTCTTAGAGTATGCAGAAGGCATGTCTTGTGCTGAAATATGGCCACTATTTATTTCCCCGGTACAGAAAACCTGAAGATCAGCATGCTCTAGTTTCTGCAAAATGAGGAATAAACACGTATCTAGGAGCTGTTCACTCAGGCTGCACACTTGTTTATAGAGTGATGCCGTGGCAGTAGAGGAGCCAGGACTGAAATTATTTAGCGCTTCTACGAGACTAAAGACAGCATCTTTCATCCTTATCCTGAAAGCTGTTGAATTACTGAGCACATATGTGTTCCCGGAGGAAACACAGCAGAACAAACAGGTGGCAAATACCCTGTGAAGTCTGAGTAGTTCAGGGCTGAAATCCCAAATGGAGAGTGTTGAAACCGTTCTTGACTTCATGATATTCACTGGCAGTTTCTCCCTATCTCTGAGACTTTATCCAATATGTAAAAAGCATCCTGGTAAAATTGTTTTTTGGAAAAAGACAAGGCCAGGCTGGATGTGGCTCTGGGCAGCCTGGTCTAGTGGTTGGTGACCCTGCCTTGTGGCAGGTGGGTTGAAACTAGATGATCATTGTGGTCCTTTTCAACCCAAGCTCTTCTGTGATTCTATGATATACGTGTTTTATTTATTTATTTTTGGTGAAGATATTTGAAATCTGTATTCAGTTTTGAAGCAGTGCGTATGATGATGTACCAGCAGTGTTGTACTGGGGAATTAAATCATGCAAAGTTCTTGCATCTGCATCAAATTCAGCTTCTTCACTTTCAAAGACGCTGGTTAAAACAGTCAGTGCTCGTGCCTTTCTTAAACAAAGCAGATGATTTCATTTTTTCGGGGCTGCAGTATGAAAACTCTGCCTGTCATCAGCTGGGTCCTACTTTCTTTAAAGTTAATTGCTGTAGTGCAAAGTACATTCCTCACAAAGATGGTCTTGTTTTAGTCCTTTATAGCTGGAACCTGTTGAGAAAGGAAGGTTCAGATTAGAACTGACAGTGTTGTTTATTTTTTTTATTCAGCTTGGGGGCAAGCATGAAAAAATAGATGAAGTGGTGCCTGGATGCTTGGAAGCAGAATAGTTAGATGAGCCTGGTGGTAGTTCCTCTCATGTCTTGAGTACTCTGTGCTAGGAAGTGGGTATGGAAAAGAGCATTTTCATTGCTGACCTGGCTTCCCACTGTAATGGCTCCATGTGCTGTTAATGGGAAAGCTCTGTTGGATGTGTGTTTTGCTCTCCAGTCTGCTGTTGGGTATCTCACCTGTGCTTGTTTTTCAGATAAAGCAGACATTCTGGAGCAGGGAGTATGCATTTGGAAATGTGAGAAAATAAGGTTTGGTTACTGGGAGAAAATCACCTGTAACACATCAAAGAGAATGCTGTCTTCACTCCCTTCACCTAAAATGTTTTGTGCTGTTTGTTTACTTTTTAAATAATGGAATTACTATAACAAGGGGAAATTTCTGAGTTATGGCTATGTTGTAATTAGGGGAGCTGATAGTATTATTTAGCTAAATTGCAAGAGTTATTACTAGAACTATCTTATCTTAGGTCTTAATATATTATTTTTTAGATACCTTAAATCATTATGGAGTAATAAAAGTGAATTAATTAAATTCCCAGTGTGTTTTTATTGCTCTTAGTGGATAACACCAGCCATTTAGGGACTGAGCCTTCAGAAAGTTTCTAAACTCTTCCATATGGTGACATTTCACAGTGCCAAATCCCAGTAGTCACTTCCTGTTTGTTTCTGGTATACGTTTCTCTTCGATTACTATAGCTTCTTAATTCCCCTAAATATAATGTGCTATTGTTGGTGTTGGTGCTAGACCTCATGAACGTCATTCTCTGCAATGTCATCTGCTTTATTTAGCTTTTATTATCTGGTAGGTGCTGATTTACTCAGCTAAGTCGTGGTCGATTTCTTTCTGATTAAGGAAACATGACTGATGTGCTAGAAGTTGTCACGAGAATGCCACGGTAGCAAATGTAACCCTAATCTGGATTCTGTATGTGCATTAGAATTGTCTGAATCTGCATGGCTTCAAAATGCATTGTAATTTGCAGTTTATTTTGCAACTGCATTAACAGAAGTAGTGTTGCTAAACTATATCATTGTGTTTGAACAGCATGGGGCGGAACTGAAGTGACCCAGTGCGTAGCAATCATCCTTGACTTCTTGGCACCTGACAGCACCTGCTCCAAAGATTTAAGAGTGCTGCGGGGTATTTGTCTGCACTATTATGTTTTCCATATTTTTCATTCTGTAATTGAATCAGTTGCCTTCTGTATGCTCTGTGCAT